GAACAGCATGCATTTGAACTACATGGGTCCACTTATATGCATATTTTTTTGATGAATACAGTACACTACTGTAAATGTATTTTCTCTTCCTTATGATTTTCTTAATAACATTTTCTTTTCTCTAGATTACTTCACTGTAAGAATACAGTATATAATACATACAACATACAAAATATGTGTCCATCCACTGTTCATGTTATCAGTAAGGCTTCTGATCAACAGTAGGCTATAGTAAGTTAAGTTTTGGGAGAGTCTTCTGTAGAAGACCGTTCAGGATGTTAGGGCACGTTTGAGGACAGCAATGTCTTTTCTTTCTGATGGGTAAGCTGACTGCCCTGTTTTATCTGAATAGGACTCCATGGATGGGTATGAATCTGAACAGAGAACAAAGGAAACACATTTTACTCTTTTCTCCTCTCTTTATACTGTGAGAAATCTATCCTCCTCCATGATCCCGGCTTAGTGAACATAACAGATGGATTGAATCCATAAAAATGAAAAACTTTTCCCATTTCAACTTCATTTCCTGCTTTTCTAGGTAAAACAAAACTTTCCCTGAGGAAATGATGTAAATGCACTCACACGTTCTTAAAAGATCCCACATAGCACAAAATATTGCTATGTACTACACCATGTTGTTTTCACTTACTTTTAAAAAGAAATATGAGGGTGGTAGCAGAAAAAAAAAATATCGATAGGATTTGGGAAATGCTTTCTAATCCCTGCCTCATTGTGATCCCCTTCCTTAAGCTTCAGTTTCCTTGTCTATCACATGGGGTCGGTAAAAATACATACCATACCTATTTTACAGAATTACTGTAAAGGATTTAAGTATATAACACACATGAAAACCCTTGAAATACTACAAAAGGTGATACAAATGTATACTGCTACTGCTACTACAAGGTCTCCATGCCATATTTGCTCACCAGCTTCTGTCCCTGCCCTCCCTTGCACCTGGCAGGCCGCACACAATTCTTTGCCTGCAGCACAGACCCAAGCAGTCTTGTGTGCTTGCACTTGAGTGTACAAGGGAAACTACTGATTTTGGAGAAGACAAGAATGGTCCTGCTCCAAATAACCTTCTGGGGAAATCCACGGGATACTCAATCCACATCTCTGCCCAGAGTCTTTTCTAGACAGATACAGAGAGGGGGCATGAGTCAGGGCCCCTGTTAAAAAGCACAATGCCATTGCCAGTATGAGTTTAAACTTAAACAGCGTTGGTATCCATCTGTAAAATGTCACGTCTGTTAGTTCCATCCTAGCAGCTCAAATGTAGAAAGTCACAAATCCGCCTCCTTCAATAAAATATAAAAATCTAGAGTCTCTGTATAATATATGTGCACTCAAGCTATACTAATTTATTCTACAATTACTTTTATTTTTTAGCAATTTGGCTCTTATACTACATAATTAATGATGTTTACATGGAAAGGTTCTTTAATGTAAATGGCATAAGTGGATTACTGAGCAAGCCTTAAAACAAATAAACATTTTTCTCCTTTTAAAATTTTCTTCACTCTCCTCTGGCACAAGAGCAGAATTTTTTAAATGTCAAGCGGGATATAGAAATCAGGCTTCTGAGGTCCATTCTCCCCTGGTAAGACAGGCTTATAATTCTGTTTCCTGTAATGGTTGGCCTGGGGGCGGTCAACACTGACCTTGCTGACCCAACACATCCAGACTCAGAAGCCTGTCTTTTCTTTGGGAGGTTGCCACTGTTTTTCTCCATGACCTTAAACGTAACACAGTATCTGGCCCTTACAGATCATTTCCTGAAGAGTTTGCTGGGGATGAGACACTCATGAGATAAATAAACAAGCTCACTATAAAGACCTGAAAAAGACCAGGGAAGAAAACCTACCAGGTTTCTAAATACTCCTACTGTCATGATTACATCAACATCAACCGTGGTGGGTGCCCCTCCTAGTCAAAGTTCAGATCGCATGTTTCTCAAGTAGCGGTACAGAGCCAGGTTACAGTAAAATAGAGTTGGCTTGACGGTCACTACCTATCAGGACACATGTTATCTCTTTTAAGGTATTCGCAAGGGAAAGCATTGCCATCAAAAGCCTTTTCTTTACTCCTGTTCTCCCAGAGGCAAAGGCACGGGGATGGGAGTGAAGATGCCTTCCTCCACACCACACATCCAGCTTTAGGAGGCCTTGTGGGGAAGCCTGGCTCCAGATCATCTCTGGAAGGAAGGGTCCTCTAAAGTACCCTTCAAGTTATCTCAGGAGTTGCAGACCAGACTCTACCAGCAGGCTTTCTCTAGGGCAGACTTTAGTCTCTAACCGTAGGGCTGGCAGAGGCTTGAGATCTAAGAGAACTCAACCCACGTGAGAGATCCTGACACCAGTCCTATCCACAGTCCCAGGGCAGAGCTTCAAATTGGAGCCCTGATCTGGAGGACAAGAGATAGGTCAAATGCCTAGGACAAGCATGTTTTGAGTGAACATAACTGTACAAGACCTATTGCTGTATTAAGACCTTCATGTTCTCTAAATGCTTATTTTCACATCACTTCAAGCATGTTAATATGTGTATACATCCCACAGGTAATTATTTTTCTACAAAGAATTTTATAATTTTTCTTTTAAAATTATTTGGCTAAAGTAACTAATTTAAAATGTGCTGTGATTTCTCAACACTCATCATGTATATTTAGGAACTCTCAGTTGGTGAGAGCATCTCATCTTAAAACTGTTCTCAAATGGAATGAAATTGTTATGAACATTAACTCTAGCAATTAATGAAGCTGACACAGTATTATATTTTGTGACCATTTAATAAATGTTGATTAATTTTGCTTTGGCAGTTTTCTAATTTTAGAGGCTATAATTTTTTCCAGTCAGACTCCATACATTTTCCCAGACAAGCTCATATGCCCAGCACTGTGAGCCCACTACCTAGAGACTAAGCTTGTCCTCTGGGTTTTGGGCATTCCGCCAAGCACTCCCTAAATGACTGGGCATGGACTACAGTGAGTTCTCAGGGATTTCCAGCCATTTCATGGAATTTGTGCCCTCAACCCAAACAGTCATGTGGAGGTACCACACCTTGTGCCATCATCTGAACAACCCAAGAAAGTCTTACTAATTAGACTCAAATTCTGAAGATTTTTGTGAATTTTTGGCTCCTTAAAGAAATTTACTCATAACCAACACTGAAAGACTTCACTGTTGGCCTTTGGTAAAGTCATTCTTTTCCTTCAGTGGATGAAATCAGGTTTCATAAATCCGATTTGTTTTCCAATAAGAAATAAGATGTGGAAGGTGATTTGAAGTTGCATTCCTAGGAAGCTTTTCCATCACATAAAATGTGAGTTATGCATGTTCCATTAAGGTGTTTACAAGTAGACTCAAGATAACTTCTTTAAAAATATTATATCAGCAACTGTTAAGTGGAGTGTACTTTTTTCTCCCCCCAACCCCCGAAAGGGATTAGGTCTTATCAGGGTGTATCAACTCAAAAATAATCATAGGTAGTCTACTGACAGTCACAAATTCCCCTCTTTTGCTATCAGCAAATGCTGTAGTGATAAAGTACACATTTGAAAACTCTACTTTCTAGATGCGTCTTCCAACAATATCACAACATCAGTGTGGTTTGTTTAGGGGATACATCCCTGACCTTGGTTTGTCTTGTATCTTTTTAAAAAAATCACTAAATACATGGTGCGCGTGGATGGTTCAGTTGGTTAAGCATCTGCCTTCCGCTCAGGTCGACATATTGGGGTCCTGGGATTGAGCTCTCTGCTCAGCAGGGAGTTTGCTTCTCCCTCCCACTCTCCTTCTGTGCTTGCTCTCTCTTGCTCTCCCTCAAATAAATAAAATCTTTAAAAAATAAAATAAAATCACTAAATACATATTGAGTATGTATAGCAGTAAGCTCTTAGATACTGGTATCAGACGGGATGAGATGGGGGTCCCATCTCTGCCATTTTCTAGCTCTGAGATTAGGGCAAGTTATTAATTATTTTTTCATCTGCAAAATGGTACCAATAATGATTAAAAGGATGGTTCTCAAGATTAAGCAAGCTAATGAGTATAAAGCTGATGTGAGCAACCCATGTTAGCTTTGAGCATTGCTCTTCTTATTAGGTATCATTTTCTATTCAGAGTACCACCATTCAAGCCCCCACATCTCAGCTCTGGACTACTTAGAGGCCTCCTGCCTTCCCAGCTGGCATTCTGCTCTCACCTACCCCAACCCCTTTCATCTCCTTCCCAAAGATGAGTGATCCTTTCCATATGGAAAGGCAGTCAGTTCAACCCCCTTCCCACATACAAACAAAAACAGAGTACAACAAAAATTCCTCCAGCTGTCCTTAGCACAAAACCAGCCTGGCTCCTGCCTACCCTATGCAGCCTGTTTTCACCTCTCTCCCCACTCCCTCTATGCCTCAGCCATACTAGTTAGTCTTCTGTGCATTGCTGGTGCCGGGCTCCCTCCAGTCTCTCTTCTGCAGGCCTAGAGAGCTCTGTCCCTGTCCGACCCGGCGTTTCACATCCCAACCCAGAAGCTACCTCTTCAAGTAGATCACTTCCATCTTTTCATGGGTTCACATTCCTTCCCTTTCAATGCACTTAACTCACTCAACGCACGGCCTACTTAAAGGATAACTTCCTGATGTGTGACTGACACTTTGGGGACGGTATACAGCTGCCAGTTTCACTCATCATCTTGTTCCCCATAACCTACCTCAGCCGGGACCCAGGGAACAAGGCAGTCAACATTGAATGAATGAGTGAATGAAAGCGATGAGTTAGAAGAGCCTCAACTGCACATTTTCAAACGTGGCTCCTTATTAAGTGGTCCCCAAACGGGCCGGTCCCTTTTCTTTTTTTTTTAAACATTTGGCCTTGGTTTTTGCGTCTGTCTTTTCCCAAGAAAACAGCCCAGGCGGTGAGATCCCGGGAGGCACCCCAAGGGGCGGCGGGCCGGGGCGGAAGTGCGAGGTACTGGGCGGGCGCCGGGCCGGCTCGGGCGGAAGTGCCGGGCTCCGGGCGGAAGCGGCGACGTAGGCGGCGGGCGGCTCAGGTGGGTGCGGGTGGCCTGGTGGCGGCGGGTGGGAGCTCTGGTCGCCGCCCGGAGCCGGCGCGCGGGCGGGAGGCGGGGCACGCGAACCCTTCGCTGGGCCACACGCTGCCAATTTCGATTGTCGTTAGAGGGAATTTAATTAAACCGGGAGCCATAAATCCATGAACCTCCGGGGGGAGATTCTAGGCATTTGTGTGTCTGCACGTGTGTGTTTGTGTGTGTGCGCGCGCGCGCGTGCGTGCGGCGAGAGCAATGGCGCTCTGGGAAGTGAACAGAATAACGAGCGGGAAAAGGCAGTTTTTTAAGAGGAAGCAGAGAACATCTCAGTTTCACGCTTCTTCCAGTTTTTCACAGATGCCCCGTCCCGGGTTTAATTGAATTCTGTGAAGTGGCAATATAATCTCAATTGGCAGCCCGCTGAGATGACTGCCTTTTTAAATAAATATTTTTGAGCAACCATGTTGACCTTTAATTGGGGGTGAAAAGGTTGGAAACGTGCTGTAGGAAACGTTGGGAGTCCCGGGGCTTTCTGGACCTCCTCTCTGCTTTCCTGGCAAAAGCAGTCCCCTGGATGGTGAACAGTGTGACGACAAATCAGGGACGCTACAGTTCTCAACAAATACTTAGCCTTGTCGGTCACCCCTGATAAATACCAGCTCATACAATATTTAATAAGTCCAGAGGTAAAGAAGTCCCGGCGAAATTACTAACGGGAATAGGCAAGTGCCTGTTTCTAATGCTGTCTTAACAAGGTTTTTGCCAGGATGGTCTTTGTTCTTGTTTCTTAATGTTATTTCATACAGTACTTCATATTGCAGGGCACTTTAAATATATATTTTTTTATATATACACCGTATATATATATACACACACACACACACACTATATATATATATATATTACAAAAAACACACACAGTATGGCCCAGCTACACCCCAAGCTATAAGCTCCTCCAGGATAGGAATAGTGTCTAGGACCTGTTATACCCCCAACGCTTTCTAGCACATTTCCCAGCATAAGCAGGGCTTCTGTAACTACACATTGCCTTGGTGAAGCAGCCACTGGAACCATGTCTCAGTGTGCATGGCACTGTACAAGATGAGGTAGCTATTACAGGCCACAGTCTCCTCATTTAGTAATTATATGAAGAATAGCTTATGAAAATGCATATGAAACTCTCTACCAATATTTGGAGCTGTATACACTGAGATTTGGAACACTTGGGAAAAAAAGGTCTCCCCTGGGAATAATTGAGTGATCGTGGTAACATCAGGGTAAGGCAGAACTGTCATGGTTCTGTGTGAAATGTCATAGCGTAATAACCTGGGTCCCATTCTGCTGAAGAATTGCATGGAACCAGAAAGTTCCGGTTGTGAAAAATTAAGATTGGTGGGGCTGGTGCTTTAGACAGGCAGACTCCCCAAATGTTCTTTCGTCATACTTGCTGTGGTCAGTCGTGGCTGCCTGCTGAGGAAGAATCAATATTTTTTGGTCTCCTTCACTAGAGGAAAATGTGGCTATGTGGTTTTATTTAAATGGATTGATGGCAGGTGAGGTAATAGAAATGAGGATTTTCCAACTCGGGAATTTATTGGACTGTATTTCTATTTTATTCCAGATGCCTGGCTCTGTTGTACTTTTAAGTACCTGGAGGCAATGTGGAGATATGCCTTCAAAATAAGTTATTTTTTTTAAGTTTTTGTATTTCATAACATGTGCATACTCTAGCTGGTTGATGCATTCAGTTACTCTAATGCCGGGTTTGGGGTTTCACACGTAGCAGGACCTTGAGGTAATATGGTACAAGTACTAAGGTTTTTTATGTTCCTTATTTTAAATCTAATTTTGCCACTGCTTTATTCAAGGAGTGTACATCAGGGGAAGCCAGAAGCCAGCTGGGATAGTTCCTGCATGCAGTTTTAATCTTGTTTGCAATTATTTTGAAGGGGAGAAACCATCTGGATCCAGGGATCCAGACAGGTAGCACAGACTAGGCAGGCTTCCTTCATCCTTCCCCTAGTAGTATCACATAGCAAGTTCAGGGACAAAATCATTTGAGAAAGAATACGCAAAATCAAATGTTTGGGCTAAGTTTCTCATAGATCATTATCCCACATCCCTAACATTCCAGTTACAGTTACAGGAGCCTGGAGGCATGGAAACATCACTCTTTTTTATTCTAATCCTTACCAAAGATAAGGTTTCTGGAGATAGAGGCAAAATTCAAAATACCTTCTATTTTAAGAAGATATCCATCTCCCATGATTTCAGAGCGTTTCACCATTAGTATCTGGTAACAACCATTTTACTGCTACAGTCTTCACCACTGCAGTATTGTATTGTTTGTAAATTTTTCTTCTGCCCAAGGTGTGAGGTCCTGAAGGGCAGGGGAAGGATCTTAATCACTCTTATATTTCTAATACCTGGCACAGTGCATGTTATGGAAATGAAAAGACAGTGTCCTTGAAGGGCGATTGGATCTATAACATCATTGGGAATGCAAGAGGTAGAGAAAAGGATTATATAAAACAATAACCTTTCAAGAGCTTCCTAGATGCAGTTTTAAATACTGCGGCTACTAATGCCTTGATCAACAGCTTGGAGCAGAGAAGTGCACATTTGAGAATCTATAGGCAGTTACCAAACTGCCTTCCAAGGAGATATGACCTGATTAGCTATAGGGCCTTGGTTGTGTTTAACGGAATAAGCAAGCTGAAAGGCTCCACGAGCCCTGTCCCCCTCCATCCAGGCCTGCCATGCTCAACTCCTCACCCGAAGACTTGTTGAGCAAATATTTGAAGACTGTCCTTTTGAAGGTATACCAAATTACGAGTTTACTTAGGTCACTAATATCTTCATTTGGTCCTTCCTTAAGGATAGATAATCTATGTCTGGTCCCTCTTTTAAGGCTAGGTTGCCCAAATAATATTGAAAGAAAGCCACTATCATCTTTTCTACTTTGCTAAAACTTCCCAAGGAGTTCAAAGTTGACAGCTTTTTGTGTTGTAATGGGGCAGGCCTGTGGGATACACTGCTTCCTTCTGTTGCTGGTGGGACTGCAGCAGAAACCAGAATGTTACTTCTGGAAACAAATGAACTTCCTCTCTTTGTTCCTGGACTTTTTCGTATTTCATAACATGTGCATACTCTAGCTGGTTGATGCATTCAGTTACTCTAATGCCGGGTTTGGGGTTTCACACGTGCAATAAGAATGAAATCGTGGGGAAATGGCTTCTAGTTTAGTCAGGAGGAAGGACGTGAGATTGAGTTATTTGATTTTTTTTTTTTAACTCTTTACTTTTTAAAACACGTAGTTCTTCCAGTCAGCCAAGAGAAAGGATAGTGTTATCTAATAGAAATTCAGTCAGCTGGGGCAGCCTAGGACGTAAGAGTGGGGAAAAAAAAAAAGAGATCTAAGTTCAGCCCTATTTCTCCAGGTTCAAAAATGAAATTAATCTGTATCTTCTTAGATTTAGAAACCAGAACCTCATTCTTAAAATAAAAGAATTCTGCTGTCTGAAGCAGAGGCTTTCCTCACTCTCCATCCTTAAATTAAGCCTTAAACATAATGTGTTATCAGTTGTTTGGTATACTATGAGGATTTATGTTTTAAAGCTTTCTGAGATTTTTTTTTTTTTTTGGAAGAAAGGAGGTTGAACATGGAGATCCTTTCTAGTTCTGAAAATTCTGTGTTGGTCTCATTATGTATATAAAATAAGCCATTGTTCAAGGAGAAAATATAGAAAGATGAACCGAAAAATGCAGTATGAAAGGTTTCAGGTAAACATTAGTTTATCCATAAAGCAAGGGGACCTTTGAAGTCACCTCCAGTTCCAAAATATTAAGATATCCCATGAAAGATGTTAAGTAACAGAATGGGATCCAGAGAATTGTAGAATCTGACATCACTGAGGGTTGTCGGTGCATGGCTCAAGAGAACATGTTCCCAACGTTCAGATTGAGCAGGCCTCGGTATTGTTGGTATCACAAGTCCAAGAAAATGCTCAAATTCAGTAACTCAAAGTTTCCAGAGTCATTTGCTACAAAATGGCTAAAAATGAATGAAACATCTTTCAGGTGTTGTGTGGTCATGAAGATAAATTCGTCTCTTTGGCAAGATGAATTGGAAATGGTGGGGTATTAGTGATGAATGGAAGACCTTGCCTGGGTGGATGGATTTTGAATTGCAAATAGTTGTTTTTGGAAATGGGACTGTGTGCTTTGTAAATAGCAAGGAAACTGGCATTACTAGCTGGGTACAATAAAACTAAGATGTTTTAATGAAATTGCCTTCTTTCTGGGTCAGCATTAAGTATCAGAGATATCTTCAAAGGGGATGGGTCATTTTGGTTAAGAAGGATAATGTGGAAAGGAGTCAGCATAAGTCCTTATGCACTTTGTTCCCAGCCCTTGAACTAGAATGATTTTGCCCTCATCTTAATGCCATCTTTATGGAATGAAGGAATTTTCAAATTGGTTTTTTAAACTCTATTAAGCCCTCATGTATGATATAACCCAACCACATTATTCAGGTTTTCTTGGCTCTCAGGAACAGCTTTGCAGCCATTATGTCCTAATTGTACTGAACATTGTTGCACACTCTGAATTCAGAATATGCCTCTCTGGCTCCAGGCCAGATGCTGAGTCAGTGTCTTTGGGATGAGAGGAGGGGTGCAGTGTGTGCTAGCCCTACTGTGTTAACAGAAAGTAGTCCAGAATCCCCTTTGGACGCCCGGGGTGCTAGAGGGAATGTATAGTAGGAGTACACTACTGTTTCCGATTAGCATCTTCATTTTCCTTCTCTCAGCTGAATGTTTTTCTGGAAATCCTCCCCTGACATTTTCATGTGTACCAACCCCATTACTGAGCAGACTCTTCTAAAGCAATGATCTGGAAAGTGTGACTGCTAAGGTCCAAAGATTCTAAAACAAACTCTTGTTTACACTAAAGATTCCTCTCCCCTTCCACTTGACATTTGTCAGCTTGGGAGGCAAACACAG